AATAATATTTTATAATTTTAACAATAATATTAGTAAAGATAATGACGGCCAGCATTCACTATAGTAATTATCCGAAAATTTAAAAAGGCACGATATGTATGGTAGTATTTTCTGTTACATTGAAACTTACCTTCTATAATACAGTGTTTATTATGTATAAAAAAAATACAGTATTTATTATTTTCTTTGGTGCTGTCGAATAATTACATTAGTAGTAATAGCACGAAAAGTAGGTGATCTGTCTTAATTTTTCTTTTTTCACGGTGAAAATTCAAAAAAAAAAGTAGTGTTATAAGAATAATTTTTTTATTTTATTTTTTTATATAATTTTTATATGTCATTAAATAAATAAATATATTTAATATTATAAATTTTTCATAAATTAAAAAAATTAATTATTTTAATAACATATTAAATTATTAAAAAAATAAGATAAAAAATTATATCAAAAACATTTCAAAAAAAAATATCAAAACAATTGAAATGAATTGAAGTAATGAGGGCTGTCAGAAGTCAGGAGGAGGTGTGTCACATTCACATTGAAAGAAAATTTTAATGAAATTCAGCCTGTTCAGGCAGGGGATTGGATGATGAAAAAAAGGATGGTCCCTCTCGTTGTTCGAGCTTTTCTGGACCTCCTCTTCCTGCGGGCCTGAGACACTGCCGCTATAATAGTAGCAGTACTAAAAGACCTATAAACCCAAGCCCGGGCCCATGTAATGGCCACACATAAAATTGTTATTATGAATACATAAAATATTATAAATGTGTTTAATTAATTTATTTTTTTAATTTATAATTATTAAAATATATAAAAATATTAATTTATAAGATAATTTTATATTTTTAAATAATAAATATTAACTGTTCAATTTGTTTGTCAATTAATAATTACAATTATTAATTATTTTTAATGATAAAATTAAATACATTAATATCATTTTTGTGTTACCATACCCATTGTTCCAAACTCTATGAGTTAATGATGGAAAGAACGAAAATTTAAGACAAAAATTTAGAATTAATGATTTGACTCATATTATGCCATTAAATTAGTTTACGTACGTAATATTATAGATCTAAAATAATAAAAAGAGTTAATCATTAAATAATATAATATTTATATTTTAATATTTTAAATAATATGACTTATGTTACATTATTGATCTTAAATCTTAATTCTAAATTTTAGTCTCATTTTATCGTTATTTAAAAGTTAAATATATTGATAAACAATTATTATCTTGTAACATAAATCAAAGTTTAAATTTTGAAGTGAACATTTTAAAAAATTAATTTATTTGAATAAATCAAGTTGATAA